GGGCCCAGACAAAAACCGATTTTATGGTGGCATACGATCTGGTGATAAGATCTATGTCCAGATTCCGGGGTGAGAATCGTTCGACAATCCGGGCATTTGAGTGGCTTTAATTCGCCGAGCAAAACCCAGCTGTTTCCTCGGAAAGCCAGCCCGGGCTGCTTCAGCAAATTGATGACGAATTTCACTGGGAAGCTTTCCTTCTCGACCGCACATTTGCGGCACGACAACGTGCCATTTTTGTCGGCCACAGGCGTACGTGAATTCCCGATGCCAGCGTGGAAGGGCCTATCGCATAGTGTGCAATTCAGGAAGTCGAGCAGCATTTTCCTAAATACTCTCATGTTTGCAGTTATGAGAGCGTTCGGCAAGAGACAATTTTGGGAAAAAGAAACGAACCACTGAAAGCGAAAGAGAGAGAGAGAGAGAGAGAGAGAGAGGCGAGAGCGTGATTGAGAGAGCGAGAACGAGAGAGAGCGGAGATAGAGCAAGATAGAGAGAGAGAGAGAGAGAGAGAGAGAGAGAGAGTGAGAGGGTGAGAGCAGAGAGAGAGACAAAGGCAGGGACAGAGAGAGAGAGACAGAGACAGAGAGATGGATAGATTTGGGGAGAGAGATAGAGGGAGAGAGAGAGAGGGAAAGGAAACCGTATGAAAAAATCAACAGTAAATGACATTCTAAAAAGCAGCCGGTGGAAACGAAAGAAATTCGCATCGATATCTTGGTCAGTGTGAAGTGATCCGATCTCCGACTGACCATTCAAATGTTTTGATTTGTCCATCGATCCCAGTGAGCGTCTCTCGGCACAGTCCCTTTTTCCGAAACAAAAATATGGTTTCGGTTGGGACATCTGAGTCATTCCGGAGAATCAGTGAAGGTTGCACAACAATTGGTATCATTCAGACAAATTTACCTAGGGGTCGCGTGTATCGAATCATTCTTTTTCTAATCTTTTTCGCCATATTATCGCATCGTGGGCTATTCTTTAAGGCGGTTATTCTTAATTCAGGTAGATGAATTCTTTTATTTACAGCACAATAAATCAGTCAGAATGGAGAGAAAAATGTTTTGTACTGAAACGGACAAGTTTCGAGATTTTGGAATTGAGAGGAAATTTAGGGAGGAGATGCAAATATACTGGAAAAGAAGTAGTAATATTGCATTGTAAAGCACGAAATTTTAAGAGATACGGTTTTGCCAAAATGAAAACTAACTTTGGGGATCATGAGGGATGAGGATCTCAAGATGGATGAAGTTTAATCCGGCATCGCAAGCGATTTTTCCGGAGACAAAGCAACCGCTTGAAGCCGCTTGAGCAGTGCCGAACTTTCCTCCACGAGCTCCACCAGTTTAGCATTGTCCATATGACTGTGTGGAAAATTTTCCTGAAAGTTTGAATGGCAATTATTTTGCTAATCTTCACCAGAAATATGTTTAAGGGTCTGGTTTATCCCCAGACCAACCTCAATTTTTCAGCCCTACCGTCTATTAATGTGCTTAAAGTGTCTGGAAATGTTCGCCATTTTGGCCAGATTGTTTTCTAGCGTCAAACATTATTAGAAAATTTTTACAAGGCTTTAAAAGTTGCAATTATTGGGTCGCTAGGCTTAGATTACGCGGTTTCTCACTCGGATATGTTAAGTTTTCGCAAGTTTTGCCTCAAACGTACTATAGTCTGACTCTAAAGATCAAGGGCTACATTTTGGTACCCTTGCCAGCTATGCCAGTCGATGGAGAGCCGAGATCCGAAAACCCACATTGGGGCAGCAAAAATCAACTAAAGGAAATCCTGAGATCTAATTGCGGTTAAAACTTTGACAACTTTTGACGTAAGAAATAAGTTGGCTTTTGAGCTTCGACAATGGCGAACGTTTTGAGCACCTTATTGACCGCCCTGATAAAGATTATGGCTAAAAACTTTTTGGGTTGGGAGGAGGGGTAAACCAGTCTTCAGCCCAAAAAAAATGATAGTGGCGCTACCTCAAGGTGTTTTTCGAGTTTGCCCGCGTTGCTCGGTGCCGATTCCCCGGTCAGTATGTTGTCAGCGTACTCATTCCGTTTCGACGTCATCTAAAATGTAATATTAATTTTTGCACGGATTTATAGTTACAATTTCCCAAAAGACCTGCGAGCTCAACCTACCTGCGAAATCGTGGTCGCAATTTGCTCGTGGACGTGCCGCGCCAGTCGTGCCTCCAGTCCAGCGCTTGCCTTCTGGACCACCGACTCGTCGTAGCACTTTTTGCAGAAGGTCTCCTTCGCTCCCATTATGGCGGTCCCATTCCCAAATGGCTCCAAACACATCGTGCAAGTATCGCTGATGGCGTTTTTTTTGCACTGACATGATGCGTCGCAGTTGGCTATATTTTTCCATGAATTTATCTGCCTCCGCCTGAAATTTTTCGGGCGGTTTCAAGCCGTCTTTGCATTGGGAGCACGTTTTGCCGCATGAGGGTTTGGGATTGCAGCTGCCGAAGCGAATGAATTTCCTGCCCGTTATAATTGGCCAGGGACCACATCGGACCGGATGCAAGCATTCCACCCGAGAATAGTGGCCGGACGTCGGAGAGACGAAGGCCTTGCATTCTCTGCATTGCCACGTCATCACCGGTCCAATTGCCACCCAACCGGACTTTGTCAGAGTTAGTCCGGGCTGCTTGAGGATGAGCATGACAAAATGGAGCCGATAGCTTTGCTTCAGGGCGCATTTCTTGCAGCTGAATCCGTTTGCATCGCACACGGGTGTACGCGATTTTGACCAGTCCGGTTCAAAGGGCTTGTTGCACCTCGGGCAGTTGAGGAAGTCGAGCAGCATTTTGGTCTGAAATTTGTGATGAAGCTAGGCATTCAAAGTTGCACTAAATGCCAAAATAACTTTGTGAAGTAGGCTTCAAAGGTGAATTTTTGACATTTTTCACGTCGATTTGTGATTGTTAGCACGTGTCTCGATAAAGCATCAAAGCGACACTGCGTGATTGGACAAAGCAAATTGTGTCTGGCCCTACCCTGTGACCGGCCTGTATGGATCACAAAAATTACGGAAATTAATCAATTAATTAATGTTGACTAAATTGAGCTGATGTGCGAAGCCTCGATTGTTAAAATGCAATAAACTGGTTTTTTACTGCTTTCCTTAGAAAGTTGAACACTCTTACTTTCATTGCGTAATAAGCAAAATTGTAAAATATTGATTTTTAAAGCCCAGGCATCAAAAATTGCAACTTGCTTGTAAGAGCTACGAAAAACTACCAAAAACATTGGATTACGTTGTTCTGGTCGCGAAAGGGCAAAAATATTTTTTTTGGAACTCATGGTTAAAAATTTGATAACCAGCACCACGAAAGTTAATTAAAACGAAAGATTCGTACCCATTTATCGATATGGCCTTTTTTGCTTTTTATTCTAATTCGGGTATTTTAGTCGGAGCTAAACTCGATAACCCGGATCAAGACTTACTTGTAAATTTTGCGGCTTGCAGTCCTTTGGAAATTGCGCGGAAATGGAGTCAGGAGTTGCAGACGAGGCTCGAATACCAGTCTCTAAAAATCAAAACAATTGTTTTCTGGATTCATGGACAAATCTAGCATATTTTTCATGTTTTGAGCGCGCAACCCATAAAGTCGGTTTTCCAGGTGTTCAAAACATTAAATGTCGACCCAATTCAGCACCATGCCCCGGCCTAGGCACGCTATAGGAGAACGGCTCGACCGGGCTGTATGCAAATTATGGTCTTTTGATATTCCGTGCCCCCCTGTCGGGACAGTGTGCATAGTCGAGAGATAGAGTACAGTACGTGGGATTTCCGAATGGCTGAGCACGACTACACCACCATCCTCTACACACCATCCCCCTCTTTATTCCACAAATGATCCCTGCAATAGCCGACTGCGACAGTGGCTGGCCCCTTTAGTCTTTTTAGAGGAAAAGAGGGATAGGGGAATATGAAAAGATTAGGCTTAGGCTATGAACGGCAGGGATCAAACGTGATTTTGAGGGTGAGGGCACGGGTATTAAAACTTTCATGGGGTAATTGAAAGCACAAAATTCGAAAAGTTAGTCTAATCGAAATCAAGCTTGCCTACCTTAAGTCGTGAATCCCAATCCGCTACGCAAAAGCAGCGTAGAGTCGACTTAGGGCTTCAAAGGCTTTGCAGGCTTTGGGCCAGGGAGTTTGGAAGAATGATGCGTGATACTCCTCGGAAATTTCAGCCTCTTTATATACTGCTTATCAGCCCTTCGTGCAGATGTACCCGCCGCGGATCTTGCGTATCAACTACCCCTAGGGCCGCGCCGTGGAGTTGCATTAATGAGATGATATGAATGCCTGCGCACGTCTTTTGAGGTTTAGAGAATACGGTAATTTTTCCAAGACTTAGCAACAGCTGCGATCGAAGAAAACGACAATTGAAAGAATTATTATTGGATTTAAGCCCGATCTTGCAGGGTCTTGCAGCTGCCTGTTTACATCCCAATATCTCTTGGCATCAAAATCCTCATAAAAATCAAAACAGAACAGAGTAACCCTTCCGAGAATCCGAAACAATCTCAGACATGTAAATTTCTAATGTGCCAGCGTGCGTCAAATTCAAGCTAAATTCAGCGTAACAAACCCGGAATTCGTAAAATTCATATATTTTCTCTCTGCTGTTTAGGTGCCTCTGATGTGTATTGTAATCGAGTTGTTTTACGCTAAGTTTCCCATCCGTTTATTCGCAAGGCATTAGAAATTTAAATAACTGATTTCAGACTGACAAATAGGGATGCTCGGATGAAAATGAGATGGCATACAAAATAAGGAAATAATGAATCAAACACAATTTTGAAGTATCGCTATAAGAACCGAGGGTCGATTTAAGTCAAATGTGGAACGATCAACTCATGCCTTTAAGAAAAATGCGAGTTTGTGCCGAGTGACAGTGAAGTTAAATTTAAATTAGAGCTAAAATTTTACGGGTCTAAAAAGTTACGAAAATCATGAACACTGTGGTTATCAATCATTTTTCAAGAAACCTGACAGAAGACCTCGGGACCTAGCGGATTTTGCGGTTCGGGAGCCATCGGCTTGAAACCACGCAACAGGGCTTCGCTGTCATCGGCCAGATCCATTAACTTCTCATTGTAGATGCGGGCATGCGGCAGGTATTCCTGAAACTAAGTAAGCATCGTAAATTAGAATTTATGGCAAAACATACTCTTCTCTATGATAACCTCAATCAACTTGCCTCAAAATTCTTCTCAAACGCCTGCGCCTTTTGCCATAAAGTTTCACTGATGGCGGCACCATTCGCATAGAGCTTCTGCTTGATGATCAGCTGAAAAATTTCTATAGATCGGGTTTAGTCGCCTTTAGTAGTGCAAAAATATACCAAAACATAACAAAATGTTTTCGTATTTTTTCTATAATGAACTAAAAAACAAACCATGGAATTCACGGTCGTTTCTTCGATCAGCCGTTTCATATTCGAAGAGATCATATCGTGAACGTGCTGAATGTTGCCCGCAAGGCCATCGTAGTGTTGCAGAACATCCTTGCTGGTCTGGGCCTCAAGTTCGGCAAGTTTCGTCGCCCCCAAGTCCACCAGCTCGTGCGTTTTGTGCGCCCGCACCGAGCACACACCGCACAAGACGGTTCCCTTGCAGTTGGTGCACGAGAACATCAACGAGGTCAGGAATTCGGTTCCACAGCCGCTGCACGGCTCTCTCGGGTCCTTGACCACGGTGCGCGTCTTCTTTTCGATGGCCAACTTCTGGGCATCGTAGTTCTTCTCGCGAACCCGGCGCCTTGGAATTTCAGCGCAGGGGATACAATGTGCAGCCGGTAACTCGGAGCATTTTGCGCACTTCTTCGCAGCTTCCGCCTCGTCGTGGCACTTTTTGCAGAAGGTCTGGTTATCTCCCTTAAAGATCAGCCCATGTCCGAATGGCTGCTTGCATTTGATGCACTGGCCGCTGACTTTCACGTCACTGCCCAGCATCGCCAGGATCGGAAGTTTGTGCTCGACAAAGGCGTTAAACTTGGGAACTATCCATCCATCGTTTGCCTTCGTCAGGGTAGCTGGCTTGATCATGTAATCGCAGTGCTTGCATTTTTGATCTGAATCTAGTCGGAAACTTTGGCAGCAAGATATTTGGAAGCATTTGATACCCTTCTTCTCATGTCCCAGGCAACCCAACGATTCATGATGGCAAATAATTTGCCAATTAAGTGAGGAACCCCCAAAGACTTTGTCACAATCCGGGCATGCGAGCGGTTCAAGTTGCCCAACGATCATCCATCCATGGTTGGTTCTTAGCAGCCCGCGTTGATTGAGCATGTCGATAATGAATTTGAGAGGACGGCTTCGTCCCTTGGAGCATTTTTGGCAGGAAATCAGCCCCGTATTTTCCGCCATCACCGGTGTACGGGACCTGTGGAAAGCGGCCTGGAAGGGCTTCTTGCACCCTAGGCAGTTTAGGAAATTGAGCAGCATGCTCGTCTGAAAACGCTCCTTTCGGTTCTTTAAAGTGCCGAGAACAATTGAGAGAGAAGAGAGAGAGAGCGAGAGATCGAGAGATCGAGAGAGAGCGAGAGAGAGAGAGAGAGAGAGCGAGAGAGAGAGTGAGCGAGAGAGATAGTACGCGCGCGAGCGGCACAAAAGATGATTAATTACTGTGATCAAAAGCGACACATTGAAAGAAGTTATGAAAAGCACAGCTGTGCGAAAAAGTCGGCTTGCCTATTTAAGAAAAAGTAAAAATCGATATGTGCGCTAAAATGCCGTCGGTGAGGGGGTTCTGTGAGGGTGAGGACTGAGAGCGATGCAAATGTTTTGCTTCGGCGATCGATCTCACTCGACTTCCCCAGACAACCCAGCTGCGTCCGAGTCTAATGGCTTTACACGAAAAATATTGCGCAATGAAATGGCGTGAATGAATGGCCAATTTAGCTCCGGGTATTTGCACAATTCAAGTTTATTGAGAGCATTAATTATCATGGCAGTTTTGAAAAGCCACATAAGAGACAAGGTAATGGTGAAGTAAGAGGGAGTAAAATGATGAAAAGTCAATAAAAATACTCTGGCCGATCCATCGGAAGCTCAGTGTGCGAAAGATAAAACTTCAAGCTTCAAGCTTCAAGCCAAACACGGGATACTATCGATTTGTGAAAAAATTAGCCTGTTTCACGGATGGATGAGAATTTCCAGCAAAATTCACGACAGCCAAAACCACAACAGCCCAAAGACGACGGTCGATACGATGACGGTCGGATTTAGTTGACCGTTTAGTAGTTTTACTAAAATGCTTTCAAGACCTTTTCGAATTGCTCGTCTGTAACCGAAGTTGAATTACTGTAATATATCGAACTTTGTTTTTGCTGTTTTAGCTGGTACTTTATCACCGCGAAAACTTTATTCCTTGACCATAAGTTCCAATAAGGCCCCCGGGAAATCGTCTAAGTCTTTCTGCAACATCTCGTGATTCACGCCGACCCATTGGTGCACCATCAAACTTTCGCGACAAATATGACAATCGTTGTGCAACTCAGTCTTGTAATAACACTCGATACATAGCAAATAAGCGCATGAGACGACAATTCTGTCCTGAATATTCTGGAGCTTTTTCTCACATTTGCTGCAACCCGTTTTTGCCCATAAGCCGCGCACCGTCAGGTTCAACACGATCTTCGCGTGGACCCGGTTCTGACTCAGCCGATAATTTGAGTAACTATTCATAAAGAGCTCGGCGTCCCGTCCGGCGTTCCAAACCTAGATTTGAACATTAGGGTTTCAAGAAAGTGTGATGATAAGTCGAGCTTCAAAATTGTTACTTACATGATTAAAATGCTTAAGCCAGCTTAGAGGCTCCAGGGCTCCGAAAGCTATCCAGCCCTTCTCGGTACGCATGATGTTGTCCTGCTTCAGCAGTTGATTCACAGCGTATGCGCATTCTTGATATCCTACCGACCCGGCGCATCGGCGACAACAAAAATCGGAGCGCGTATGTTGCGTTGGTTCGCCCGGAATTGGGAACTGTCCATTCAGTTCAGAAACCTGGTACGGACGCGAGCACTTGGGGCAGTTAAAGCACTCGAGCAGCATAGCTAAAAGCGAGGTATAAAGCGGAAATTAAGATTTATTACATTTTCGAAAACTTTAAAAATAATTGTATGCGGCGCTGACACCGCAAAATCGCTATAAGGGCGAATGTTTGCAAAACTAGCCGTTGCCCCACCCGCTCCGCACAAATAGGCTGTGCGGGAAAAAACGATGATCATTTGTGTCAGGGATGAGCTTTTAATCTCTCCACCAGTCTAATTTCCACAGTACGTACATTCACCGCAAACGGCTCTACCAAGGCTTACGAAAAAAAAATAGGCGATTTCGTTTTAGAACGTACTACGTCTCTTTCACAACGTAAGCAAAAATAACTTTGTGTCCGAAAGTCAAGTTGCCTTGTGTGCTGTCGGTACTAGTTCGTTAGCGGTGGGGGATGTTTATTCTGAAGGGCGACGTTCAGTATATTCTAACAAAATTTATTTCGGGCTTAAGACTATTTAATTTATTTTTTACACTCCCAAAAAATTTATTGGACTGAAGATAATTATCGAAATTTGTGGAAAAGAATTCGTTTATTAGCACAACAACAAATCAGTCTTAACGGAGAAAACCGCTACCGGGCAAAGTCAGAAAAAAATCGAAACAGAAAGTAAAGTTACGGTGGAAAGGCGAGGAAAGTCTGTAGCTTCAGGGAAATTTCGAAAACACTGTTTCGCTACAGAACTGAAAATTAAAGTTGAGGGATGATAATATCTATTTGCAATACAAAAATAAGGCCAGGATTACTTGGTCGTATTACTTGTTTTCGCGACCTCCGGAGCTTTTCCAGAGCTTTCTACGCTTTGCGAGATGGCTAGCCCTTCAATCCGCTTCAGCATAGCCGAACACTCCTCCGCCAAGTCCACCAGCTTATCATTGTAGATGCGGGCATGGGGGAGATATTCCTGAAATGAAAATAGGCTTTCATTTCTCTGGTTTTTACATCTTATTTCTTTGGCATTCTATTGTGTGGATGGAGCCTACCTCGAAGTGCTTCTCGAACTCGTCGGCTTTCTTCCGCACCGCTTCGCCGGTCAGCACACCGCTAGCGTACTCTTTTTGCTTCGTGATCGTCTAAAATTAGAATTTTGATCATTTTTCTGTTACGATATTTTCTATAATATAACCCCCTCCCTACTTCGGAAATTTATTACGGAAAAGTAGCCTTCAATTTTTTTTGGTAAAATGTTTACAGTAATAACTGTCACTTATTGAGCATGGCACTGGGATCCTGAATCGTTTAAAGCCGCTTGAGCAGCTAAAACCCGAAGTAATGACCAAAAGTACAAAATAGTTGACGCAAATAATTAAAAATATCTTACAATTTACAAAATTACAAAAATTAGGACCGCCGGGGCTGTATTATATCTAGATACTACGGTACATTAATTTCTAACAGCAGCAAAAAAACCAAACCGACCTGCGAAATCTCGATCGCTTTATCGATCATCTTCGGCATATTGATCGAAATCTGCTCGTGGACGTGCAGCACCATTCCCTGAAGACCATTGCACTGTTGCTCCACATCATCCCCGGTCTGCGCTTGAATCTTGGCCAGCTTCGAGGCGCACAGGTCCACCAAGTCGTGGGCCTTGTGCTCACGCACTGCGCACGCGCCGCACAGTACCGCATTATTGCAGTTTGCGCAGGAGAACATCGCCGAGGTCAAAGACTCCTTCTTGCATCCACTGCACGACGTCTTCACATCTTCCGCCGTTTCTCGAGGCTTTGTTGGGGTGTTTTTCTTCTGGAAATTCCTCTTCTGGAGCTTTGCGCAGCGATCGGCCAAACCCGCGCACGCTTTTTGAACCTCAGCTTTGTCGTAGCACTTCTTGCAGAAGGCCATATCCTCTCCCATGACAATTATCCGATTTCCGAATGGCTCCAAGCATTTCGCACAGGTTGCACTGACCGCGATTTCGTTTTGGATCGCTTCTAGCACTGGCTGGGTACGCGTTGCAAAATCGTTGAATTTTAATAGAATTTCATCTGCCTCGGCCTGGCATTTTTCCGGCGGATCCAAACGGTCTTTGCATGTCGTGCAGATCCATCCCTTCACAGATTCGTGGTTAACTTTGCCGTTGTCACAGCCGACGATCTTAATGCGTTTGCACCCCTTCTTGGCTGGCCCCTGACAACAGCGACTCCTATGCCAGCACTTCACTCGATAATAGGGCGAATGGTCAGATGATTGCGTGAATACAACATCGCAATCTGGGCACTGCACCGGCTTCAACGGTCCTAGAACCATCCACCCTGCCCTGGTTCGGACGAGCGCGGGTTGCCGAAGAAGGTCGATCATGTATCGGAGAGGGTAGCTCCGCTTCTTTGAACACTTTTTGCAGCTGATTCCATTCTTATCGCACACGGGTGTACGGGGTTTTCCAAAAGCCGCCTCGAAGGGCTTTTTGCACTTTGGGCAGTTGAGGAAGTCGAGTAGCATTGGGGTCTAAAATTTGAAAAAAATTGTTTTGATTGGGTCTAAGAAAATTTGATGGAAAGAGCAAGAGTCGGGTAAAGCAATTTTGTGAAAAAGAGGCCACATGCTATTCTAGAAGCATCTAAAAGTCACAATTTGCAAATTTTAAGATAAAAACCAGCGCCTTTGTAAGGTTGCCAAATCATAAAGTTATTGGAAAAAAGCAGGGGCCCAGAGTTCACGAAAAATCGTCAAAAATAAGATATGTGCCGATAGCCAGGCTCAAATGCCCCGGGTGAAGGAGGGAATGGAGAAGTGAGGGATGCAAATGTTTTGATTCGGCGATCGATCTCACTCGGCTTTCCCAGACTACCCAGCTGTGGCCGAACCCTTGCCACTAACGGCTTTACGCCAAAAATATCGCGCGAAAAAATGGCTCGGATGATTCAGGCCAGCTTCTGGTATTTGCATCAATAAAAAATGCAACAAAATCATGTTTATTCGGATCACTTGTTATGGTAGAGCAGTTAAAATCATGGTATAAAGTTATTATTGATCGAGGAATGAAGACGTACTTAGGTAGGAATGGAGAGAGGGCATGATAGTGCGTGAGAGAGGGAGAGAGTGAGAGTAGAGCACGAGAGTGAGAGCGAGAGCGATTCAGCCACTCTAGATAATTCAGAAATTGCTAGGCATAACGAAATAAGGATAATCTGTTAAAATTTGATCGTGAGTTTGGTTAAAAAGAACTCCACAATGACATCTACAAAGCATTTGGAAATTCAGCTCAATTTACAATTTCGAAATCCCCGGGCTGATGCCACGCAGCAGGGCACGTCTATCGTCAGCGAGATCCAGCAACTGCTCACCGCAGAGGCGTGCATTAGGCAAATATTCCTGGAAAATACAAAATTTGTGTTATAAAAAATTTAAAGGCCTCTTGTCTTGAGCCTTAAAACTATCAAATAAACAACCGCCAAGCTACCTCAAAATGCTTCTCCAACGCGTGGGCCTTCTGACAAAGGACTTCGCCGATCGCGGCACCATTTTCATAGACGTGCTGCTGGCTGATCAACTGAAATATGGTTTATAACAAAACTGAAAAGCAAATCTTAAAAGAGAGGATCTCAAATAGAAGTTTCCTACATTCCCCAAAAATGCGCAATTGAACAAACCTTCAGATACTGCTCCGTTTCAACGAAAAATTTGTACATATTGTCCGCAAGCAGGCGGTGAACATCATAGAAATTTGATACGATCCGAGTCTGGCGTTTCGTTAGGTCATCGGTATTCTGAGCCTCAAGTTCCGTAAGCTTCTTCGCACCAAAATCCAACAGCTTATGCGTTTTATGCGAGCGCACGGAGCACACAGCGCAAAAGACTGCACCCTGACAGTCGTAGCATGAGAACATCAGGGGGATCAGGATTCTGGCTTCGCATCCAGAACACGCCTCCAGCGGGTCGTTGAGCAGCGCCAGAGCCTGCGCTTTAACGTCCAACCTCTGCGCGGCGTAGATCTCCTCGCGCAACCGGCGCCCCGGGATTTCTTCGCATCGGAGACGGTGTTCGGCTGGCAACTCAGAGCAATTGACGCATTTTTCGTTAGCCTCCACCTCCTCGTCGCACTTTTTACACATTGCCATGTTGCCGCCGAGGATGACCAAGCCATTGCCAAATCGTTCTCGGCATCTTGCACAGCTCGCCCTCATCTTCACCTTTTTCTGCATCATTTCCAGGATGACCATTTTATGCGCAACAACGTCGTTGAATTGGGTGATGATGTTTGTCTCGGTTTTGACGCACGTATCAGCCGGCAGAATCGTCGAATCACACTGAATCCATGTCGTCATGGGTCGTTCGCGGCAGCAGTAGGCCTGTACGCACTCAACACCCTTAGCCGCGGGCCTGAAGCACCGTGTTGGCTGTTGATGGCGAATGATTTGCCAGTAGATCGTGTGTGGCTCGGGCCCGAACACCCGATTGCAATCCGGACAGCCGAACGGCACGAGCGGTCCGACGATCACCCATCCGCGGCTCAACCGAAGCAGCCCGGGCTGGCGGAGAAGGTCGATGACGTATTTCAGGGGGATCTTCGCGCCTTTGGCGCACTTTTGACAGCAGATCTCCCAATCTTTGTCGGCCACTGGAGTTCGTGATTTTCCAAAATCCGCGTGGAACGGCTTCCGGCACCTTTGGCAACTTAGGAAGTCGAGTAGCATCATGGCGCTAGAAAGTGACTTATTGTTTTGTGAGAACAGCAGAGAGAGTAAGGGAGAGAGTGTGAGAGAGCGAGAGAGCGGGAGAGAGTGAGAGAATGAATCACAGAGCGAGGTCAAAACTATTTTAGCCAAAATAAATAAATTGGAATTATACAATATTTTCCGTAAAGAGCATCCTCATCGAGATTTTCTTGAAAATGACACCTCATATCGAAGATTATTAAGGATTAATCTTTCAAAGTATGAGTTTATGATTCAGAATCAAATACATAATTTGGTGCAACGAAGATAGTTTTTCGAAAATTAGAACAAATGGAATTTTTTAAAAATCAATTATTGATACCGAAGAGAGAGAGAGAGAGAGAGAGAGAGAGAGTGAGAGGGAGAGAGACAGACAGTGATAGCGAGAAGAAGCGCACGAGAGTCAATGTATTCGAATGCAATATGCGGCCAAAAACTAAGATATTCGGAAATAAGAATAAATCTTCCTGAGAAACATTAGCCGGACAGCCCGGGGTAAATGAGGGAGGGGATTTTGAGCGATGCAAATGTTTTGACATGGCGATAGGTCTCCCACGCGTTTTCCAGACAGCCCATCTGTTCAGGAGCTCTCGCCGGTAAAGGCCTTTGCGCGAAAAATATTGCGTGAGGAAATGGCGATTGGATGACTCAGACAAGATGTCTGTCTGTAAACCAAAGTTGAGGGGATCAGTAGCTGATTCGTAGTTTCGCTTCTGAAAGCAGTTTATTTAGGCCTACGGGTTAGAGTAAAAATTAAAGTGGCGAAGAGCAGGGTTGTTGTAGAGCACAGTGAAAAAACGGGCCGCTTTCCGAACGGAATTGTTAAATAAACCAAAATACAGGGTGTCCCAATAAAAAACACCCCCTTCAACTCGGCGCAGAAGTATCGGAATAATAGTTATACCATTCGAATGCCCTTGAAATGGCGAGTCTGCAACAATTTTCAAAATTACGTTGTTGTTTAGATGCGCTATTTTACAAGCCATTTTGTAAAATTTTGCGGTTTTACCAGCTTACATAATTTGCCTCAATTTCTCCATCCAAAATGACCGGAAGTAGCCTTTAATTCGATGTGTTCGATGTGATGTTCGATGCGTTTTAAAACGGCGAATTTAAATAAAAACATGGTTTAGAAAATTGTTGCAAACTCGTCGTTCCACGAAACGTCTGCGTCGAATTAGAGGGGTGTTTTTTATTGGGGCACCCTGTTCTTCTTACATTTGAGCCGCGAATTAAGCTTGCGAAATTTGTGACGCACACCAGAATTAAGGTGTCAAGTCAGGAGAAAGGAAAGATTCGAACAATTGCTGGTATGCAATTGGGGTTGCGGGCATCCGTTCAAATTACCAGGGGTTTTTTAAACGTAGCTCGTTAAATCCCCGACTGTCTGCAAAAATCGCTTGATGACTGTTGTGGTAGTTGATTTCTGTGTTGTCTTGTCCATGAATGAGCGTAATTTCGGTAGATCTTTATGTGCTCATAACAAATGGTCAACAAAGAAATTTCACGAAAGAAAATTCAGGTTTTTCGAAGTTGTACCCTTTCACAGGACTTTCGCGGCGATTGCGGAGGCCTGCTGGTTCGGCCCAACCATGACATCGTGACAGTCCTCTGCTTTCCGCTTCTCTTCTTCAGCTCGTCGCTCCTGCTCTTCTTGTTGTAGCAATTCCTTTCCGACTGATTGATGGGCTTGCAGCGCTTCACCGCAAATATGGCAATCATTGCGCAAATTCGTTTTGTAGTAGCACATGGGGCACAGCACAAATGAGCACGAGATCACGATCCGGTCCTCGTAATTTCCCAGGGTCTTCTCACAGTTCCCGCATTCGGATTTTTTGGCCACCATGCGCTGTCGCAAGTTGATGGCGATCTTCTCGCGAACCTCTTCCAGCTTTCTCGCATGTTGCCCATAGCTCCGGACAAATTTCCTCTGCTCGCCACAGCTTCCAAACTAAAAACCAGATAGAAAGATTTCCCCTCGCATAGAATTGCATTTACTGAATGTCTAACTAGGGGAGCCCGAATAAACCTGGACTCAGATACTCATACTCAGATATAATCGACCACGCTGATCATCACCTCGTTGTCCAAATTTGCTACTGATCTTTAAAACGCGAGATGTGCCACTTTTAAGACAATCCTTTAACTAAAATCGTCAATATTCAAGCTCGATTATTTTGCTATTCCAGGCCCATTTTGCAAAATAAATATCGCCATCATAGTTAGAAAATTTTTCTTTTTCGAACGAGCCCTCTAACTCAAACACGAAAAATTGGAAAATTTGACAATATGGTATGGTATCTATCGGATGATAAGGATTTCTATTTTTGTATGGGAAATAGTGAAAAATAGCCTACTTCAAACAGCTGTAAGACGTCGTCTAGACGAGGCCTACTTTAATGAAATATACCACCATTCGAATCAGAAAAAAATTCTCTATCAGATAGGCTACTTCAAATAATTTAGAACTTCAAAATAGAAAGTCTTCAAAAAATCATGTCTCGGTCTCATATCCCATATCTCGATTTTTAAGGATCAGTAACAAATTTGGGCAGCTTGGTGGTGTTCAGCATGGCCGATTCTATCTGCGTGCAAATTTTCAGCCAGTTCTCAGCCCAGGTTTATTCGGGCTCCGCTAGTTAAGCTGCTGCTTTTGGGTTAATAAAACATTTGATAAAACCCACCCATAATTCTCTGAGCGGACCGATAGCGATCCAGCCCTTATCGGTTAGTTTGACATTCTCCTGCTTCAGCAGGTTGATCACAAAAATAGCTCTCCGTAAATAATCGTCACGGCCGGGCGGTGGGCAACATTGGCGACAGCAGATCAGTTCATCACTTTCGTACATCGGTTCACGTGACGACCCTTCGTTTAAATGGAACGGAAGCGCGCATTTCGGGCAGTTGAAGCACTCGAGCAGCATCTCTGAAGCAATTAGGTAAAAGCGAAAATTTCGAATTAAAATGGGCTGCATGGGTTAAGTGGCGTCAAATGGAAAATTACGTTACGAAGAAGGCTCAATATCGGGTGTGGCTTTGGATTAGCTTTAATGAATTGGCCAAATGATCAAACATTTTAATTAGTTAGCATAAAGTTATAATTCTGATGGTGCTTGGGCTCATAAATTATGTGAAATAAAATGCTTAATTTATACAACGAAAGATGGCTTGTTTTTTGCCATTTTGAGGTTTTGTTAGATACCTATCGTCGAAATCCTCTAAAGGGATGCTTCTCCGAGCCGCTAAAGTGGGATGATTCGTGAAAAATTAAAGAAACATAGGTCCGGTAAGCAGCGAATTCTACTGGTTCTAGATAGCAGAATTTTCGAAGACGCGTGGTGACCTTGAATCACGTGGCGCTCCCCGGGGTGATGGACTAAGAATTAAGCATAGGCAGATAACCTATCGGCGACACACATCTGACCATAGCAACACTAAAGGGGGGCCCTTGAGAAACTATTGCATACACAAAACACAAAAATCCACACAAACCCAGGCGCAATGTTCCTAGAGTTAAAGCCCAACAAAAAAAGCCACACGGAGAAGACGTTTTTCTGTTTGATGTATTTCTAAACTGTTTTTCACACCATTTGTAAAGCAATGAAATCTGCTTTTTATTCAAAAATGTCAACATAGACCTTTTTGCCTTCACTGTATTAAAAATTTGCTGATGCCGCTGTCGGTTTGCTGCTTTTTTTTTAATTTTAATGTTGGAACGCTTCAAGGTGCACAGATTATGTACGCGTAGTGAAGTTTAGTATCGCAGGATGACGCCCGGCGTTACTTGTCTATAACACTATTCTAAAAATGTTTTGAAGTCATCATCAGATCAAAAATTCAACAGCAATCAAGAATTTAAATTCCAACATTTGAAGTTGAGTCATCGATAGAGTCTTCTCTGCTAAATCCATTTCCACATTAATAGACATAGTTTATCTCCAGGTGAAGGCGCGAAGAAGTGCCCGCGTAGAGTGGAGGTCCACGTCCTCCTGGCACAGCTTCTTGATAAAGTTAATAAGCAACTGATATACATAACTTAAGTTCGAAAATATTTTTAACACATTTTGAGGTATTTAAATGGCTCAATAACATTACGCCCCAAGGCCTCTTCCCAAGTTGTCGTATTTATCGACACTGCAGCCTGTTAAGTTCCAAAAGAAAATCCTCTCCCTTTAACGGAACTAAACCACTAATACTAAAGCAGCTATTTGGATTCCAGCCTTTGCGCCATCTGCCACGCTTAGAAAATTACAACTACCTCCCACGCGCAACCCCTGCTGGCAAGTCGTTCCTCAATTTCTAATCACAAAATCTGCTGTAAACCAGGCGATAATGGGGCTCAACATATTTATTTTTCAACAAATCAACAATAAATTGACAACAATCGAAAAGCAAGCGGCAAGCGCAAACATTACGAGTTATCAAGGCCAACGAGGGTAACAATTTCGCTCATCTCGACAGCAAAAACCATGCAAGACAAGCGATAATTGGTCTTAAAAGGGATGTCAATTTTTCATTGAAACTCCTTGGGCAAGCCGATAGTTCGGTTTCGTAGCCGGCGTTGGCGGCTTGCGTTCGTCGCCCGGTTGCAGGTGAAGACGGAGCGCCTCTCCGCAAATGTGGCAATCGTTGTGCAGCTCGACCGTGTAATAGCAGCGAAGGCAAACGACGGCCGTGCAGGAGATGACCAGTCTATGCTTGTTCCCGCCCAGCAACTTTCGGCAGAGATCACATTCCCAGTGCGAAAGAAGCTCGGGGTCCATGTTTGTCTTGATCCGCTCGATCGCAATGGGCAACTTCTCCACGTAGTCCTGGTAGGCGGCGAGCATTTGCGTGATGTCCGAATAACCGTCGTAGATCGTGGGTGGGCCGTGGGGAACGTTGCACAACTGAAAAACGAAAGTTATGACTGCGTTTACACCGCCTAAATATTCTCGCCTCTTACGCTGCTCAACGGGATAGATGGAAAGTTAACGCAAAAATATGGAAAACCAGATGAAAGTTTTTTTTCATTTAGCGTTAAAACCTACAGTATTTTTTTTAGATAAGAACCAACCTGACAAAGCAATCCGCGACGCTTCGTGGCACACGCTTGACATTCGAGGCGCACACACTTCGTCAAGAGCGATGGCTGGTAATGGAGAATTGGCGCGAAACATCTTTGGCAGCTCATCGGCTCCAGCACGCTGAGGGCCACCCAACAACCTGGGGTTCCCTTGACAGAAGGCTGCTTGAGAAGCGGGTCCAGGAAGTAGATCGGAAGCGCGCTGTCACCATCGCGGCAGAGGAAACAGAACACGTGCTTGAGGGTCGCGTCGCACATCGGCGCGCGCAGTCCGCCGGACAGCTCGTATGGCAGCGAGCATTTCGGGCAGTTGAAGCACTTGAGCAGCATCTCTGAAAATGAAAATGGGTACTATTCAAGTTGGGGGGGGGCAAAATTTTTTTAGGTCATTTTCAGGCTACTTGATCAGTTTTTCGTGGCTAATCCAGAGCAATACTTAACTCCTAAGCTAAGCTAAGCCGAAGCACAGTTAAATTGAGCTTGAACAAAGCTAAGTCGAAGCCAAAAGCAGTGTTGCTGACGAAGCCAAGCTAAGGACCAGGTACTAAGGTTTAGGCTAAGCATAGGCCTAAGCCTAGGTTAAACTAGTTCTAAGCCTAGCCTAAGTTAAGCTTAAGCCTAAGCTAAAGCCTAAGCCAAGCCAATACTAAGCTAAGCTAAGCCTAAGCCAGAGAAAAACTGACCAATTAGCCCAAAAATTACCCGAAAAGTTTTGCCCCAACTTGAATAGTACCTGAAAATGTAGGTAATAGAGATATGGCAAGAGCAAAGCTTTGAAAGTCGAAATTGATTGGCTGGGAAATTCCATGAAGATTGAGAGAAGAATATATTCAGCTATAAAATAAACTGAGAAAAACGCGAAGAAGATGAAAAACGATCGGACCAAAAACTGCGAATCCGTCCAGAAATGTCGCCAAGAACCCGGTTTTTCTGAAAATTTTCGGCTAATCCGAAAATTTTCGCGTTTTTTGAATACGATCTAAAGCGCAACTAATAAAATCAGAGGGAATTGCTAATGAAAAAGAAAGAGCAGGATATCATCTATTTTATAATTTTGGAGCGTCTATCTGTGCGTTTGTGTGTCCGGCTTTCACTTTTGGTGCCCAATTTTGAGAACCTTCTCCTGCTTAAAATGCCCTACTTCTCCGTCGCTAGGAGTTATCGAGCCTTCTTTTTTGCGATCGCGTTCTCACAATTTCGATAAAATACAAATGTCTAAAATTTACAGCCGGTTTGATTCATTAGATTTATTCCGAGAAGCCAATTTACATAATTCTAAAAATAGAAATTGCCTCTTTCTTGCCAATTTCACTCGCGCGTGCCTTCGATAGGGATGGGACCCGAAGGACCCGAGCTACGGAAACTCCAGCCTTATATGCAAAACACGAATTCCAAATTCCAGCTCCTAAGGTCCGCGATGCGGCTTTTGGTCGCTGGTGTAGGGATGGAAAGAAGCTCTAATTTAATAAAAAGGCAATATTTTGGGTATTTCTCTCCAATTTTGCCCTTTTCTGGCACCACAATTTACTCTCATTTGCGAAAACGGGTCCATTTTATGTAGAACAACGACTGCTAGTGAGTTTATTCAATAAAAATTCGTAAATCAGGCCGAAAAATGCGTTTATACGACCAATTCCTCCTTCAAAAATCCCTCAAAATGTTGCATGAAGCCGAGGATCGACTTGTCAATGATGTAAAATGCTGGGGGCAGCAAGTCAGCGTGGGCAATGGTTTGGCCAGATGGTAGTTGGAAGAAACGGAGCAAGAAATATTCATTCCAGATATTGTGGAGGATAATTTGCGGGTATTCCTGGCCCTCGATCTCGTCTAGGTATACAGTTTTGATGCGAGGATCGGCCGCGATGTCCTGAAAAAGTGCTAAGGATGTTTTTCTTTAATTTAGTAGGGCACATTACTTAAGTAGTTTTGAAGCTTTATTTAATAGTTCGCTAGCTATTTAACAATTTCTTACTTTAATGTAACGACCGGTAGACGGAGTATCATCCGTTTCGTGCAAAATAGCCTTCCAGCAATCATAGGTGTACTCTGGGTCCCCGGCTTCTGGGATATCGATCTATAAATTTGAATCTTTTTTGAAAAATTTCTTTAAAAAGCGGCTAGTTTGCCTCTGCAACTAAAAATTTTATTTTATTTAGCGCTTTTTTAAAAACATACTGGCTTTCCCGCCATTTCTCCAGGGTGACATGAGATTCCTGGTGGCGGTGCGGGGCGATTCATCTGAAAAAACTCTGGGTGAACCAGTTTTTGGAGCCGCACCTTTAAGTGAAAACACATATTGCGCTAAAAGACTCACCACCCGGAGCCCTGCCCCCAATACGGCTGTCGCAAGAAAGCCGGGGATGCCGGCGGCCGTGACCAAGGTGGCTGATACGGTCCCTGAGGTTCCGCCTGCAAATAAAATTTATTTTAAAAAAGTTTGAAAGATTTAATGGGTTAAATTCGAACGTGTCTTTTCAACCGAAACACACCTGATAAAGCACCATACACAGCCGTCCCGACCGTCGACATCCCGGCACCAACGTTTCCGGTCAGGAACGGAGCAAAAACAGCGCCTGCTCCGGCGCTGACAAGGCCGGAAGCGAGTGTCTAGAATGCTTTTGTTTATCGACTTTGAAAAAACCTACAATGCTCGATGCGGCCTTACCCACGGTAGCCGGGAACACATTTGAAGCAAGGACTGATCCGATCAAGCTGCCCGCACAAGTACCAATCTGCAAGGGGGGACTCGTGACGGTCCCCAGCGCCAAAACCATCTGAAGTATCGTTAATCCAGCAAAATACTTGGGAAAATATAAAGTACTCTGTTTGTAAATAACAAACCCCGACAAGGAAACGACAAATATCGGAATGATCTTTATTGCACAAGAAATGGAGATGTGTAGTGAAAGTTAAAGCTGCGTGAGTTTTGTCGAAGACTAAGCGCGGGCGATTTCAAGTCAGCTTCTTTGCAGCGCATCCAAGAATGGCCCAACCGATGGGACCGGACAGCGTGCCGGCGAGTAGTCCGGCTCCAGCGGTCCCCCCTAGACCGCCGCTCACGGCGCCTTTAAAAATTATGTAGCGTGATATAATTAAGATTGAAAGGATACTTAAGATGTTCTAAACCAATAAAACCGACCACAAATAGGCAATTAAAAACGTACCAGCAGTGCCAGCAGCCCCGATCGTTCCTGCTGCTGCACTTCCGGTTGCAGCGACCCCAGCTGCTGTGATGGCACCAGCACCGGCACCCGTAGCAGCTCCTGAATGGTTTGTGTTTTTGGACTAGAACTAAGATCGTTGGGCGTGGCGGGCCTCCATGAATAAAAAAGGCTTTTCAGTCGTCACTAGGTGTCGAAAATGGATACCTGCTGCAGTCGCGGCAGCGGCGCTCCCCGCCATCCCAGCCGCTGCGGTTCCTGTTCCAAAGCCGGCTCCGGCGCCTCAAAATAGCTTATAGTATATAAAAAAGGTTAATAAATTCAATAAAAACAATAGAACCCAAGACAATTCGAGAACTTAAAAGGAACTTACCAGCAGCAACGGCCGGTGCGGCAGCGCCAGCGGTGGCAATCACGGCTACGGTTGCAACGACAGCGGCGCCCATTCTAGGGTTCGAACGGTCTAAAGGGGGTTATATTCGCAAAATGAAAGTCCGTAGAACAACACGACACGCTGCCGTAAAAATAGCATATTTTCCATAGTTAGGCAGGGTAAAAACCTCTTTGTTTTAAAAACTCCAAAATTGCTAGGAAAAACTGAAAATATTTGAGGCGGAATGGCGAACTCACTGATCCAACGTCCTTATGTAGAATCACGAAATACGTTGCAACATATTAGTTTCGAAAAATGGAAAAGGGAAGTAATTGGTTCCGCAACAGTTAGCCGCCTTTGCTTACGTCAGGGAATGGGGTCGGGTTAAGGGCCGAATGGCCCCGGATCCATTGCCTATACGTATAGCGGCCTCAAAACTGATCTACGCCATTTTACAGGCACAAAAATGTATTTCTGGCGCGGGATGCTAACGTTTTATTGTGTTCTCGGCAAAGGCTGCGAAAATTAAAAGAACAGTGGCTTTGAGAGGATTTATTTCGATGCGATGCGATTCCCATACACAACTCCTGATAAAGAAAGCGTATAGGATACGATTCCCCCGCTTTTAATACAGTGGCGGTCAAAAGTTTATAAAATTTCTTGTTTTGACCATAACTCACCTCCCATTTGCCGCCAGAAGTCCCATATTTGGCATACATGTGCATAAAGTAATGCAGAATCCGACAGCAATACGCTTTTTATTATAAAAACATCCACGAAAAATTTTTAGATTTTTTACGAAAAAGGCCGCGTCAAAAGTTTATAAAATTTTATTTAAGGCCTCAAATATAGACGATATCAGGATTTCCCAGGATGCCCAAGGTTTTTAAATGTTAAGTCCTGACTCCGGCTACAGTTTCCGGTCGCAAATTTGGCTCCAAACTTTTAAGAGAATTTTCTCTAAAACACCATTTTAATATGATAATTGCACTTTTTTGGCTCCAGCGTACGGTATCTTTCCGGACGCATGAATACAATCAGACACTCGGAAAGCGCAGTGAGATTCTCCGCAAGAGGAGCATTTTGGTATATCAGCCAATGCATAATATTGTGAAATGAGGAAGATATGGATGGTTGAATACCGGACCTCGCCAATCTTGGGTACCTAGACAGACCCGGGCTCCCAATTACTAATATGCGGGCTTGCCGTTAGGTTCGACCGTCCAGTATTCGAGGCAAGATCGATCTCATCTGGTGTTTTATATACCAAAATGCTCCTCGTCCGATGCGCTTTCCGAGCGTCTGATTGTATTCATGCGTCCGGAAAGATACCGTACGCTGGAGCCAAAAAAGTGCAATTACCATATTAAAATCATGTTTTAGAAAAAATTCTCTAAAAGTTTGGAGCCAAATTTGCGACCGGAAACTGTAGCCGGACTCAGGACTTAACATTTAAAAACCTTGGGCATCCTTGGAAATCCTGATATCGTCTATATTTGAGGTCTTAAACAAAATTTTATAAACTTTTGACGCGGCCTTTTTCGTAAAAAATCTAAAAATTTTTCGTGGATGTTTTTATAATAAAAGCGTATTGCTGTCGGATTCTGCATTACTTTATGCACATGTATGCCAAATATGGGACTTCTGCGGCAAATGGGAGGTGAGTTATGGTCAAAACAAGAAATTTTATAAACTTTTGACCGCCACTGTACGTATTGGCGCGGGTTTGGGGGGCGTTTTACCGCATAGATTTCGATCTATCGAAATCTATGGTTTAGATTTTTCGTGCGTATTTGTGGCTTTCTCTCTCTCTCTCTATCTCTATCTCTCTCGCTCTCTCTCTCCCTCTCTCACTTTATGTTTCGCCATCTTTTCTGTGTTGGCTCCCTCGGTTCATTCATCTCATTTTTTTCGTCACCTTTCTGGGTATTTGTTTATTAGCTTCGTAAGGCTAGGTTTTTACCTTTTCAGCTTTCTGAGGCCATTCTCCCAACCTTCTCAACTATACGAATCTGCCCCTTTTCCTTTCGGTCCCCAAAAAATAACTTATCGATCGTTTCACCACTGCATTGTAGCCCTTTTTTAATTTCCATCCAAAAGGGATTCCCAAGGGGTTTTATTAGCCAGGCAGGAGAGGGCCTGCCTTCAGTTACGCCACAAAAAATACCCCTGGGCCGTTGCCAGGGGCTACGAACTACATAGAAGGAGAGCCAGTTCTAGGAAGTCATATTCGGATTCTGAAAACGCCTGAATTTATGAAAGTCGCTTTAATTTTAACCGTTTAGTTTTGGTTCGATTTCGGCTTCAATTTGGCTACGTGAAATTTTCTGAAATTCGCCGAGTCATCTAGAATCTTTAAGTTGCCCAGATTCAGAAGAGAAACTTGATTTTTGGCTTTATTTGGTCGTTTAATATTCTTTCAAATTTGTGCGATTTAAAGATTAAACTCTGTTTTCTTTCAGAGATGGACCCGCTGGAGCTACTTCCAAAAGAAGTCGTGGAAAATATTGTTATCTGGCTCCGAGAAAGCGATTGGGCTAGGGTGAAGCTGCTGAATAAAAATTGGTAAGCAGTATAATTTTGCATAAACTTATGAAAACGACTATCAAATAATTTGAAATCAAAACATAAGCCTCGAAGATTGAGACTTGGACCTCAAAGGCATTAATTCTTCAAAAATCGCCAACTTTTAGGCATCGCTTCACGCGTCAACACGTGCAAAATTCTCATAATGAACTCGTTTGCGTCACGGATTATTCATGGTTTGTATTGACAGTATTTTTCCTAAAAAAGCGGATTTAGGGACTGTGTGGCTGTCCCCGGGATCTCCGGCAACCTGCACTCGAACCCGATGGCCTACTCGCCATTCTCGAACTGTATCTACAGCTACGGGACGTCGATCGGGCAGGGTGGCGTTGACAGCTGGAATATGAATGTGTTTGATACGGTAGGGTTTTTGAAAAATTTGAAAATAAAAACAGAGGAAACGCTAGGGAATTGAGTGACGAAGGCAATTAGTGGCCAAAAAAATGCGATGCCTCTGCCCTAATGCGCTCACGTGAAAACCTGACTGACGTAATATTCCCAAAGGACAATTCTGTGGCATTTAAGGATACTGTATGTAATCAGCTTTTTAGATTCCTACCATGACAAAAATTACTTTTTAGAAAAAAAGTTCTCTTTGAAAATAAAGATACCGCTAGGGAATTGAGAAAAGGAAAACCTTTGCGCTAATGAGCTCACATGAAAACCGTGTAATTCTACTGACGTAACATTCCCAAGGGACAACTCCCAAGTCTTTCGGATACTGTATGTAGTATACTTTTTATAAATTCCTAACATTCCCAAAATTCATCTTGGGAAAGACGTTCAAAAGAAAAGAAAAGAAAAAGAGACATTTCTTTCTTTTAAACGTTTAACTAAGAAAACTTTTGTCTTTTTTTCAGCACATCGGCCTCTGGCAACGTCAGCCATTGCCTTGGGTACCAACCGGCTCCCGACCGGAAAAAGGCAGCAAACCGTCGTATTGGAAAGATGGGAAACTGGTGTTCTTTGGCGGTCAGCACGGCGGCAGAATGGCGGCTCTACAGTCGAATGTGGCCGCTGCTCACATTTACCACGAAAATGCGGAAGGGGATCGATGGGAAGCGGTGAGTTATTTAAGGAAAGAAATTCCTGCCCAAAATTCAAATAAAAACGGTAGCCGTGAAAAGCCAATGCTCTAATTTATGCAACAGTAAAATTTCAGATCGTGGCGGGACCGTTGGACCAAGCTGCTCCTACTTTACAAGTTCATGCCCAGATCATCGTCCAGGATCATTTGGTGCTGATGTCAGGTATGTTGCAGCAAGAATCATATCAGCTCTTTGTGCCCGAGGCAATTGATAGCGTAATCGGTTTCACATCGTAAGTGCGCTGAATTTTCCACGTTGAGGTATGACGTAGTTGTTACATTACAGGGTATAAAGGAGGTGAGCCTCCGTCCCCAAATCAGGACGTCTACGTTCTCCGGCTCGAACGTAATCCATGTTGGCGCAAGCCGGTAATAGCTGGGTGAGTCTCAAATTTCTAGTTCTATATGAAAACACGAGACTCTATTCTCCTTCTAAAATTTTTCCATCAATTCGAAGACCTGCAATGCAACCCATAAATTTAGTACACCACCTGATTCTTCCATCCTGTCTACATTCATCCCTCTAACACCTGGGAGACTTCTTCTAATTGGCGGACAGAACGGAGCAGTCACGGATGCGAGACAGGTATAAAAACAACTCGTTTTATAGCGTATTCATACCCTATTTTCAGTCCCACAAACTGGCCCACATCCTCCATTATTCGCTAGACGACCTGGATTTCCAGTGGCGCTGGGAGCAGTGCCCGGTGAGTTGTTGGCCCTGTTTTTTTACAATACCGTATTGGAACACTACCGTAGGATATTAATATATTAAAAATCTGCGTTCAGTTATCTGGCCCCAAAAAAAATTAAAATCCGAAAATTTTAGCTGAGCGGCCTGCCCATAACAACGGTGATGAACATCGACTGGGCCAAAGATCGAGACGAGAAACTGAGAATCTTTGCGATCGGATTTTCAACGCGGCTTCAACGAAGCGAAATGTTTGGTCATCTCCTTTTTCTATTCCCAGCTTTAGCATTGACGACCACTACTCGGAGATTCAAAAACTACTGTTTTCCATAGCTGACGAGGCCATGACCGAAATTTCGGCGCTTTTGTATGAATGGTAGTTAATTTGAGAGATTTTAACCTTTTTGCTCACGCTAGGAAAGACCGAATCGACGACTACGAGTCGAAACGGGGTGGCGAGGAACGCATCGCACCTGTGGACATGGAAATGGTGAATTAGCTTGCTTTGCTTGGGCCAAAAATTAACTTTCAAAGTGAAATTCCCGAACATTTTGAAGAAGATGAGATACAAAGTCGTAGTATATCGTATTAAGCAGAGATTTTTTTTAGTTCGATCTGCACCGTGTCATTCTCCGCCGCCACGACCTGGCACTAGAGATCCAAGGACTGCAGAGGATGCTCTATAAAGTACACTACGCCGCTAACCAGCCAGACGATAGAAGAGTCGATATCGCTGGGGTTGCCACTTCAGCACCCTTAATGGTTGGTATTTTTTGTTAGAATGGGTAATAGACTATTTATTAACTACTAACATCCCCCAAAAACCAAATAGTAAGTGAGGATCAATCAATACTACATCTTCCAGATCAAATTCCTCCGGCCGGAACAGGACACAACACTTGAGCCGGCCGATCGTATGGATGTTTTGGAGACGATTATGGCCAGGGCTCGGCTGCGGGGTAAGCAGTTTTTTAAAATGCCTTAATGAAGATTTGAGGCCCATTAATGATCAATTCTAATGGGCGCAGAGACAATTATAATCAAAAGCAAGGAATTGACAATTATTGGCTAGTACCACAAGCTCAAACAGATCAAAAAATTATAGTATTTGGCGCCGCAGGGTCCAAAAAAACCGTAACCAAGCGAAAAATTTGAAAAGAATATAGTAGCTAGATACGTGGCAAAAGTTACAGAAATAATTTTAGTCCTCCGCTTCTACGAGCCCCACCTCCTACCCTCCCACCAAAACCCGGCCGCTGGCCTGTTCCGAGTTGGCCAGCGACGCTATGTACTGTACACGGCTGATTTGACGTGCTCTGATGATGCCATTACCAAAATAGAGTATGGTGAAAATTTTGGACCTTGATTACCCTTTTTTCAGCTTCGAAGAGCACCGTGAATGGTACGGTGCCTGCCCAAAGTTGAGCCAGAAGCCGGCGGTGATTGCGGGCAATGGTGGGTGTTTTTGAAGAGAGCAGGCTAGCAGAGACCCTTGGAGGACTGGGCCCACTCGCATAAGGTTTTAGGTGTGAAAACAATTATTTTTCGGGTGTAAAAAATTATTTTTCAGGCCAGCTCTTCGTGGATCCGGGCGTCGGCCGAGGTAGCTACACCCTGACTCCGAAAATCCCGTACAAACCCTAATCTATTGGTATTTCTGAATGTATATAGTTTTCTAATTTACATATATTTGGAGTCTCTGCAGAAACATTCCATTTTTTAAGCTTGCCATATCGCTAATTTAATCGTTCGTATTTATCGGTTTTGATTAGCAGTCAATTTTGGTTGTATCTAATATCTTAATCGTCTACATTTTTCTCTCAGAAATCGGCAATCCCTGGCGTAATCAGTATCCTAGATTTACCCATTTGATCTCTTATTAATTTTTGAATTTAGAAAAAACCCCCTCTTTGTATTTATCTGATATAGTGTTTTTGTTCATATGTCGGTCAGAAAAATATGATTTGATTGTAAGTAGGCTTATTTAGCAATCCCTGAGCAATTGATGTAGATATTATATAATCCGTTTCAATCCTAAATATCGTAGAGTAGCTTGTAATAAACCATTGGCAATATAATGTTTTCTCATCGCTTTTTGGAGTGCACACGGCCAAACGATCGTCGGTGGGGCGGCCTGTGTTGCAGCGGCAGCTACTGAAAGCAGTAATTGAAAATGGTTACTTTTTAATATGAAACGACAGTAACATACAGTATTACCGTACATGATGGGCCAATTAAAACACAACTCGTAGTTAAGCGCCGGATAGGGCTTTTAGTTACACCATTCGAAAGCCCACGACGAATTTCCATAAATCTTCAAAATTGATTTTTTTTTATTTATATCAGTACCGAAATAGACTAATTGATTAATCGCTTAATTTTACTCGCACCAGTTCTGATAGGCAACCGCTAACCAAAAAAAACGGCTGTTTCGAAATGGTAAAGTGGGCGAACCCTTTATATTGAGGTACCACATAGTGCATCACCCAAAATGGCGCGCGTTCGGTTGTGACATCTGCCTTATCATAAATTTTGAACGCAATAATAACACACACAACGTTCCCAGTTGGTCAAATAATACGACTCTAACTTTCCGCTCTAACGCCTCTAACTATCTATTTATTTTCCGTGACCACGTCACAAGCTTTTTAATCTGCCCCTAACATCATCGTGGCTGGTGGTAGCTTACATTATTTTTATTTTTATTCTTTTAATTCCTTTAAACACAGGCCCATCGCCATTTCCGTCTTCTAAACGCAACTTTAACGGCCATTAAACTCCAAAAATAATTTTTTTGCACTTTCAAGACCAAGCCGCTCTACTAATTCGGCCATCGTCTTTCACATGGCATCGAAAAAACGGGGTCGAACAAAATGTGACAAGCCATACCGGGGACTGTTCGGCTGACTCGCGGATGGCCTTTTTAAACGCTTTCGCAATTTATGGCCCTCTTAAATTCTCAGAACGTTTACATCTCCGCTGCTTCAACCAATAGTCAACAATTCCAGATGCTGCTCGAGTGCTTCAACTGCCCGAAATGCCTGCGCCCGTACGACCTACGCCAACTAATGCGTACACCGATGCACGAGACCGGCAGGTCGCTGGCCTGTCAAATGTGCAGCTACCCGAATCCATGCTATCTACCCGTCAACTCCTGGTTGTGGCAGCGATTGAATCAACCGAATGTCAAGAGGACCAAAGAGGGTTGGGTAGCGCTTGGTCGGCTGCTGCCGGGGCCCCTCGGAGCCCACCCGATCGCCACGACACTCATTGCCGCAACTTACGATAATTACGTGCAAGCCGTACACGCGGCTGTCATGAAAGTTGAGGAAAGTTTGAAGACGGAACTGCCGATGGATGCGAAGTGTACTCGATGCGAAAAGTCACTAGGAGCCGTGAAGAACAGGCTGGTCATCTCCTGCTCTAGCGTACTTTGTCCGGAGTGTTACTATGGGACGGAGATGCACAATGATTGTCATTTATGCGGTGAATCGCTTCGTCTGCATCTGAAGCCAGGAAAGGAGCTGCTTGAAAAGGCAGAAGCCGAAATGATCGCACGTGAAAGCGCAAAGGATTATGGATGCCAAGATATCACGGTAGCGATTGGATCAAACCCGTCTCCCGGTCAAAATGAGTCAACCTCAAATGACAAACCCGGAAATTACCCATCTGATTGGACGTTGATTTCAAAATCTACCGACTAGTGAAGAACCTGTTTATTTTTTGTTGATTTTTCTCTCGATAAATCATGGTGCTATCGAATGCAAAAATCGGTATTATCCGCGTTATCGCGACCTGGCTGCTGGACGGCGTTAGCATGGTTGCGTGCTTTTTCAGGTTTTTCCTACGGTTGTATTTGCAATACTGACCGGGCGTGCTGGCGGTTGCTCCTTTAGCGGCGTCGAACGTACAATATCGCATGCCCATGAATTAAGCCGCGCGTTTAAATGAATCGGGCCAAGTCACTGAAGGCACATTTCTAATAGTGCATCGATCAAAATGGCGCGCATTTCAGCTACATCTGCTGCGTTCAATGCCGAATCGCATAGAGTTGACCCCCATCTCCGCGTTCACCTAACCCACACCAACGTCTTGACGTTGTTGCCTTATTTTCCTTGAATCCTTTCCTACTATTTTTATAAAAAATGGTGTTTGTGTGTAAGAAATACTGTGTGAGTGTTTGTGTTGCATGCACCGCATAGCGTGTTCCAAAGGTCTCTCAAAAGGGGCTAAAAAGAATACGTGATACGTTACTAAGTGCGAGATGGTCTTGCGATGCCGGCCCGCTAATAAAATTTTCACAAATTGGCTGTTTTCGACGTTCGATTGAGTTTTTGTTGAAAAATCGGGCATCCTCTTGGTTAGGAAACGATTAGTACACATTGGCAGCAGCCTAAATAAAGGAAATGAGAGAGCGTTTCCATAGCAAACCGCGAGAATTAGGCAGAGTGAGTATAGCATTGGGGTAAGTTGTGAAGTTAAAAGTTTAAGGTAAGAGAAAGTTTAAAGTAAGTTTCAAGTTGAAAAAATCATACGGGGGGCCCTTATGTTTTTTCGGCCCGCCGGATTTCTACGCGCCTGGGGGTAAGCCTGGTCATAATGAAAATTTTACATTTTTGGGTGATTCAGATGTCAGCTAGTATGGAGTTTCTGTGAGTTCTTTAACTTACCCTTTTTCAGATGCTACTCGACTGCTTCAACTGTCCGAAATGCTCGCGGCCGTATGAGCGATCGGAGCTCCTCCATGCCCCGTGGGCCAATCATCTAGTTCTGACATGCGCATTGTGTCGGGACCAAGATTACTGGACTTATCCGTTAAAACAATTGGATCCATTCCTTGAACAGCCGAATATCAAGAAGACCAAAGACGGCTGGGTGGCGCTTGGGCCGTTGGAGCCGGGCTTCAAGTGCACCGAATGTAAAAACAACGTCGGATATGCTCCATCGATATTCGATCAGGAGATATACTGCAGCTTATGCAATCCTTACCGCGGCGGCGATGACGTAAGTTTTGTATTTTGATGTCGGGCCACCAATTGCCTCAAATAGCGTAGAATATCTGTGAAGACTCTTCGAATCAAATGACTTTGGCGATGAGCTTGAAATTGAATGGCATGAAGTTTTTTGCGGGGGGCCATTCCCCTAAATTAGTAGTAAAAGCTGTATTTTTCAACGTGAGTTTTAATTTGTTTATTTAATTTCAAGGTAGAATTATTTATTTTCATCTGCATAAACGTCTTGTTTACCCTATAAACAGTCTTAATGGGACCATGACATTTCCGCCAACGGCCAAAAAGCTTGTAAAATGCGCTTTTTCATGCGTGTAATAGTCCTAACAATTTTTTTTCTCACCCAGATCAAGCATACACAGAAGTAGTAACAAACTTATGATGGCTTTTTTAGCAAATCCGATTTTGCACCGGAAAAGCTAAAAAGCGCGATTTGATGCTCAAAACAACCCTCCCGCCTCGTAATTTCTTCTCTACTAGCAATTACTTATCTTAATTGAATTTATTAATGCCAAAAACAATGAAAATCTTCAATGTGGAAGATTTTCTGTGTTTCTGACCTCAAATTGGCGGAAATGTCATGGTCCCGTCTTAATACTTAGTCGTGGCTTGCAACGAGTCGCTTTTTAGTGATATTGGCGTTTTGCGATGTTACTTACAAGCCCTTTCGAGTCAGCTATGTCAAATCGAAAACGTTTTAATTTTGGCATCTTTAGGAAGAATTTTATTACATCCCGATAACTATAATTTCTAGGATGATCAGCGAATCAGACTCATCGTCACCTATTACCACTATGCTAAAAAGGTGGCCAGCGCCGTCCATAGCATCGAAGAGAGCTTGAAGACGGAACTCCCCTTGGACCCGACCTGTACTAGATGCCGGAAGTCAATGGGAACGGTGAAAAATAAGCTGGTCGTTTCATGCTCAAGTGTCCTGTGCCCCGAATGCTACTACACGATGGACATGCGGAATGATTGCCATATCTGCGGCGAGTCGCTTTACTTGCATTTGGAGCCGGGCCGGAAGTTGCTTGAGGCGTCGGAAGCGGAAAAAGCCAAGGAATCAGCCGTGTCCGATGTGGAGTCCGAAGAATACGGAGAAATCATCAATGCAAATGACTGCCAGGACGTCGTCAATTTCGTCAACGTCACCTCAAAGAAATTGCAAAGGTGCCAAGATCCATCTTTGGCTGAGTTATGGAAGTGGGAAAAGCTGAGCATGAACGATGAGTGCGGCACTCTATCCGCTTCATCAACTGGCAAGACTCGAATCCGCACTTGGCGTAATGTGAACGAGCCGTTCTCCTCGGATGAAGCGTACGAATACGATGACGGCAATGACGAGTAAATCCGATCCTTTAGAAAGTTACAAGACTTTATAATTTGCGCCTGGTAACTTTTTAATTTTTCGAATAAATGATTGTTGTATCTAACGATTAAAGAATGACACTCACACACATTGGGATACCGGGAATAAAAATACGTTGTTTTTTGAAGAATCAAGGTGGTTTCAAGAACAATTTGTTGTAATTAATTTTACAAGAATTACAATTTTTGTGGCGTAATGTAGAATTCTTAACCACACGAATTAGTCGAACTGCAGTAATTAGTCAATTTCTCAGTGACATTGAT